AGGCCTTCATTATCCAAAGTCTCTTTCAGAAGTGCACTCCCTTCTGTTAATCTGACTTCATTGGAATGAGAGTCCCTTGGTCACATCTATCAAAATGTGGGTGCTAAGATAAGAAAAGGCTATCAGCATATCACATCCCTCAGTAAATGGTAGATGGACTGGTTCTTATATAGCGCTTTTCTACTCTTCTGAGCACTCAAAGCGCTTTACACAACTTGTGCATTCACCCATTCACACAAGCACATTTTTCTAAGTGCTTTCTAAGTAACATTCACACACACGATGGATGCATCGGAGAGCAATTTGGGGTTAGTATCTTGCCCAAGGATATTTGGCATGCAGACTAGGGGAAGCCAGGAATCGAACCACCAACCTTCCGATCAGTAGATGATGACCTGCTCTACCGCCTGAGCTACAGCCACCCAGTTGTGATGTGTGTTTGGGATCGTTGTCCTGCTGTAACATCCAACTGTGTCCACATTTCAATTTGTTGGAAGCTGCTGATTAGAGGTGAGGTTCAAGATTTTGGAGGTAGTCCTCCTCCTTCATTATTCCATCAATTTTGTGCAAAGTGCCACAGCAATACCCCACAGCTGTTTTGCTGTGATAAAAGTGTGATAAAAGTGACCTATGTACTGTGGAGTCTTTAAAAATTTGAAGCGACGGGACAAGCGGAGGACAAAACAAGAGGTATCGGGCCTAAAAATATATATATATCTAGAGCAGATGAAGAGTGTCTGGAAAAAAATGTCCTTAAGAAAGGGGAAAAAATCAAGCACTGATCATCACAATGATCCCAAACACACTGCCAATGCAATAAATACCTGGACAGAAGAACACACAGTGGAGCACTATCAGTCATGGATTGGCCTCCCCGGAGCCCAGACATCAACATTATTGAAGCAGTGTGGGATCATGCTGACAGAGAACAGAACAAAAGGCAGAAACATCCAAAGAAGAGCTTTGAATGTCCTTCAAGAAACCTGGAGAACTATTCCTGAAGACGACTTAAAGAAATAACAAGAAAGAGAGTTCAGACTGTGCTGAAGAATAAAGGTGGTCACACCAAATACTGACTTTCAGCTCGTTAGCATGGTACAAACTGTTTTTCCCTTATATGCTTGTATTTACATGTTTTTTGCACATGCTTCAATAAATCGCTCTTCCTGTTTCAACTATAAAGGAGAAACATTCACAGCTGAAGGGACATGTTTCGTGCCATGAGGATGACTCATGATGTAGGATCTGCATAAATGACACATGCTGTAAAAGTCTCATCTTATATGATTCTTAGGAAAGCCAGATTTGAAACGGCAGCCACTGACATTACCAATTAAACACAGCAGCTGTTATGAAAGCCAAATTGACAAAGAATAAAGGAATTCACCACTGACTGTTACAGCCACAGGCAAAATTCGTAACAAACCTGTAACTCTTATGCGGTAAAAGTGTTGTGGCACAGGATTCGAACTGATGAAACCTTCCGGTCCAGTTGCGCCACCAATTGTGGTCATGACTTTTATGGTCAGAATTTCTAGGAACAGCCAAAGAGTGGAGGGTCTCAAGATGTCATCTCAGCTTTTTGCAGATTATGTGGTTCTTTTGGTGCCGTCGGGGGATGGCCCCTGTTTGCTTTGGGGTGGTTTACAGTTGAGTGTGAAGCAACAGGGGTGGGAATCAAGTCTGAGGCCATGGTTCTCTGACAGAAAATTAAATTCAGTTCAAATTATTATATAGCAACAGTTGCCTCAAGGTGATTTATATTGTAAGGTAAAGGACCCTACAATACTGTTCCCCACAGGAGATCAGGAGGAGGTGGTCAGGGAGGTCTGTGGCAGAAGGTGAATGGATGAAATCTACGTAAATGCAGTAATTTAAGTACATGTAGGTCCTCAACCATTCCCCCAGCAGGTGCTGCAGCAATTTGAGCATCTAAATTCCAACAGCCTTGGAAATGTTTGATGTTTTTTGTTTTTTCCAGTATCCATAGCCTAACTCCATAAGTCTTTTGTCTATTCTATAGAGCCAATTTTGTTTTTTGGGGGGAGGTTTTAAATGTATGTATTCATATTAAAGAAACCCTGCAGGAGCTCCTACATGTGTGCACAAGCATGCCTCTTTATTTTCTTTTTGTCGTACATGTGAACAGGATGGCTGGAACTACACCCACTTTGTCACCCCCGTCTCCACTCTGGAGCGGGACCGATACCGCTCTCAGCCGACCCTACCCACCAGCCCAATGCAGATGTCCCCCGTCATTCAATCAGGTGTGAGAGACATCAAACCGATGATCATATTTCAGTAATAGATTGTTGGGGGGGGGAAACAGGATTTGGTTTAAATCATATCACTGTTTTATTTTTCTGGTTGGCTTTGTTTTCAGGTGGTAGTGCAACATCCTCGCCAGCGATGCTCGGGATAAGAAGACACAGTTCAAACTATCAGAGGGCCCAGTCATCTATGCAACTCGACACATATTATGGAGACAACAGTTTACACAAACGGCAGTACACAGGTTTGTGGCATTCCTCAGGGATCTGCACACGTGCCGCTGGTGTTTCTCTCAAACAACCACCATTTCAGTTTGGAGTTATATTTATTTTACTCTCTACTTATGGATTTTTCACCTCAGGGTCAGAGAAGAAAACCCCATATTTCATTGGGACCTATTCCTCCCAGTCAGGAGAGGATCTGAGAAGATCCCAGGTAAGAAGCCTTTTGTTGTTACATCATACAGTAATGTTGTGCTCAATCATCCAGGTAAGGATGTTTTCTCAGTTTGGTTGATTTTATATAGACTGACTGATTGCATTGTTTTCCAAGCACCCAGAGCCATTCTACGACGAACCCGACAGGAAGAACTTCAACAGCTACAGAATGTACCTGTCGTCCCCACAAGGCTACGGCGAGGAGCACTTTGAGGACGAACCGGCCCACCTGACCCCGTCTTCTCCCGACGGCTACGCCACCCAGTCGCTCCGATTCAAAGCCAACACCAACTATGTGGACTTCTACTCCACCACACGGAGGCCTTCAAACAGGGCGAACAAGTTCACCGGCTCCCCGGACTCGTGGGTGTAGAAAGAAAACAGACGCCATGGACATCAAGTCTTCACCACGTTGGCTGTCCGTTCCTGTGGGTGTATGTGTGCGGGGAGTGCGTTGTGTGGCTGCGTGAAAGGTTGCGGATGCATGTGGATATGTATGTGTGTGTCTGTACTGAAGCTGTGCTGAATGACCAGGGCTTGGTTTGCCACGTGCAGCTTTTGACTAAGTCAGACCGCACGATAATAATACCCGGAAAAAAATTATCCCTTTATTTTTGACTCCGAAGCTAAAAACAAACCAAACAAACACAAAAAAGTCAAAGTTTTATCAGAGGTTTATTGCATAACATAAAGAAGCAGTGCTGTATGAAATTGTTCGCTAGTTTAATGAGCTTCAGGCTGCAAAACTAGAATATTCTGAAATATTTCCACCATGTTGTTTGGCCGTTGCGTACAACTTATAATTCCCACACACTTGTAAAGGTGTTGGCTAGAGGCATGAACAGTCTAAAAGATGGACGTAGCCACCGTTACCTTACCCACCCCCCTCAGCGAAGTCCCTTCGAGCTGAGTGTCTTCTGGCTAAATGTGTCAAACGAGGAGTGGATCTACCGCACCCACTCCCATACCTTGCTTTATCAGCCTTTCATCCTTTTTGACAACAACAGGGACCACAATTTGCAAAATAAACACTATGCTGTATTCAGTAACACTTGAAAGTAGCGACTGAGACCATGAACTCGTTGGGAAAATGTTTACTGAGGTTGCATAGACTTCTACAATCTACAGTAAGAGCCAGAAATCCTTAGAGAAGAGTTTGCATGCTTGAAATCCCAGAAAGATTAAATCAGATTAAACTGGGAACTCCCCAGTTATCCAGGACTATCTCATAGAACCCCTATCAAACTGGAAGTCCACAGAGTGGCAGTTCTTGTGTATATTTAAGACAATTCTCTGATATAGCTATGACCTTACTGAGACTCGGTGTGTTAACCGTAATGTTAGATTCTGGAAATCATCGCCAAGTGTGAACAACCATCAAGGATCAAAAGTAAGTCTTGTTGCTTTGAGTATACTAAATTGGATTCTTTCTAAGGAAGATTTTGCATTTTAATTGATAGGTTTTTTTTGTAAACAATGATCAGGATGTGAAACAAATTGTCTTGAGCTTTGCCATTTCTGCCAGAAGCTAAGTCTACAGACTAGCTAATGGGTTCCCAAGGCTTAGTCAAAAGGTGCTTTTTAAACAAAAGAAAGAAAAAAACCTAGCCCTGACATTGTTGTTTACTCGAGTGTTTGTTCACGTCAACTGATTTCATTTTTCTCTGCAGTAAAAGTGTGCAGTGTGTTGGCTTTATAACATAAATATCGTCCGCCAGCATCATCTTGAATGCAAGAGAAAAAGAAACTTGCTGAAGCTGAGGATCACACCTGGGACAAATTCTATTTACCAGTTAAATAAAACCACTACTCCAAACAACATAAAAACTGCTCCAAATATTATTTGACCTGGGTTTGGAGATGAACATCCTCACGCTCATGAACCTTTAAAGACTCAGAGAACTGGGGTTAAACCTGTAACCCTCTGCTTTTCTGTAATGTTGGCCAAAAGTGCAGTATATCATAAAGTATGTGAAATATGTGGAAAAACAAAAGTGAACATCTATTTGTACAGATAAAAATGGTTTAACTGTCCTGTTACATTGTTGTATTCAATATGTAGAACTTTCTTATGTGATTGTGAGGAAGATTTTTGTATTATTTATCGATTATTTTTATTAATTTAATTGTGACCTGACCAAAATACCCAATCTGTCTGTTCTGTCTAAAACTGATAATGATGATGTGTTACAGAGGGAAATAATATGTATAGGGATTAAAGATTATATCACGATGAGACACCTGGAAGTTGCGGTTTTCTTCTAATTTTGAAATGCACACAAAAAAAGCAAGTTAAATAGATATATCTTTATTAGATTTAATTGCATCAGTTGTAAGATATATTTGGATACACGATGCTACAGCTAAAACAAAAAATGTACAACATGATGAGGTAAATGCATCCTGTACAGAAACTGCCCTCCCTGAGCATGCCTTTAACACAACAAGCTCTAGTCCATGCAGTTACATTCACTTATTCGTCGTCTGTGCTTGTTGCTGTCCTGCAACTAAGCCATTGCGAAATTGTAACATTCTACAGCAACATCCACAGAAACAAAAGCAACTAGCCCGAAAGTCACATTGCACAACTAAGGCCCAGTCCTACCCGAGTCGTCAGCCTTATGTTCAGCAGGGTAGCAGTCAAGTGTGGCAGCACTCATCCAGCCCAGTGACTGGTCGAATAGTGGCAGTCATCAAGCTCAATAACTGCCACTGGTCAAGAAGCTAATTCAAAGGGTGGGGGTCGTCATTAGAGGAGTAGCAGTCATCAAGCTTGACTGTAGGGTATCGTCCTCGAGCTTGATGACTGCTACTCTTTGATACCTAAAAGAAACTAAAATGGTAGACTATAACCAAAGAACAACTGTAATTGGGCCTTTTACACTGAGACAATAATGTACATAAAAATATGTTAAACAGGCACCATAAAGGAAAGCAGCACAAACGTCTAATGTACCACTAAAGGGTCAAGAGGCCTCGTTAAATTACAGTCTTGACGTTAAAAAAGAAAGTTACAAAGTCACAAGTCAATGTAGAGAAATGTGTTCATTTCTAAAGCTGGAGTGCTGTTTTGATGATTTCAGTTTTCTAAAGGCAAGAACTTATCCAGCTTATCCACTGAGATTTTAATTACTTTGGCCTGAGGGGAAAAACCTTTATTCTGCCTTCGAATCTGTTTTTAAAGACTCTGACTGGCCAATCAGAAACTTTACAGATTGAGTGCAGACTGTTACAACAATCCAGACACTGAAATTGTGTGGGGAGAAAAAATTTAAATCAGCTTTAAACCAGAGTTATAAACCAGGCTCATAGTCCTAGGAGCAACTGATTGGCTGGTCAGTGTTCCTCAAGAGCTACAGCAGCGCAATTTAATTGTATGAGATCCCTCTTTGCAAAACGACAAAAAAAGAAAAATCTTTTTGAAGCCCAGAGCATGTTTTCTAAAACCAAATCAAAGGGTTTCTTTTTATTGATTGTCACCTGTAATCAAACAAAAGTGTAAACACAAAAGTTATAAAATCTGGAAGACAAGACACATGCAAAGACAGTTGTGTGGAAGCATGTTTCTGCTGCCCAGCTCCAGCAACAACCTTCAACATCATCGAGGTTAGAAACTTAAAGGCCCTGCTTTGATACAAATCACATCTATAAAAGTAAGCATGAAGCTACATCCTGCAGGCAGTTGCTTAGGTTAAAATGGTGAAACAGCCATTTTTATTTTAGGTTCTGTTTCCAGAAATAAATATTCCACTCCTTTCCTCCATTGATGTTTCAGAAAAGAGTTTTAAGCCTTGAACCAACCAGCAACAAGATAAATCGTGACGATAAACGGATTTTATTTGATCTACTAAATAAATAAAGGAAAAAAAGCTAAGGTACGGGGTCTGGGACTCATTCACCCATTCACTGTGTCTAAGTGCTTTGAACCTAGCATTCTCCCTCATGGATGCACTGGGGCCACTCAGTGTTCTGTTTCTTGCCCAAAGACACTTTAACATGAACACAAGACAAGCCGGGAGTTGAACCACTGACCTTCCAATTAGTAGATAATGCACTGCTGTGTACATAATGACTTTTAACAGTGAAAGAACTACTCATCCAATAATACAATCAAATCCTAGATTCCATAGCAACCGACTTCCAGCCTTCTAGAATTTAGTGTTTGTAGTTTGTATTGTGCGTGTGTGGTCAAGTGTAGCCAAGTTATCGATGTGGCATGGTGCTATGTTCCTGACTGCAACTCGACCATTCTGATGTTTGTAGGTTTACACATTTCCAAGGTCAATGCCATTCAACAGCAACTTGTAAAGCACTCTGAGGGCCCCGAAAAGCGCTATATAAATGCAATCCATTATTATTATTATTAACTTCCACCAATCAGAGATGCCGCTGTTTCAGTTAAGGATTGCGGGAAGAGTAGTTCTTCTCCGTTATATTATAAATAATACATTAATGTTTTATGTCACATGCAATCATTTTACAGTTTAGTAGCTTGTAGTGAGTCTGTTTTTGGTGGGTACAATTTTTTGGTCCATAGTTAAAATACTTCTAAAAAATATGGATGAGATTTTCAATTCAGGATCTGTAAATAAGTTGTAGATGTTTTCCAAAATATGCAGGTAGCATGCATGTTAGGGCTACCCAGCTAACAGCAGAAATCATCTTCAGGCATTGACGTAAATGAGCTGGGGCGTAATTTGCTGATTATGCGTGTTAAATTTTTTTGCAATGAGTTGTCGTTAACGCACTTAGTGATTACACTGTCCATAAAGAGCTCGGAGCAATTATCAACCTAATGGTCGCCATTTAGGCTACGGAGTGGGATGAGGCCTTTATCCATAGTAAACTGTTGTCTTCGGTGTGAGTGCCATTTTGGAGGGATGCTGCTGTAGCGTCAGCCACATAGGCCTAGAGACCAGTCAGCAATCATCTGGCAACCACTGGATCACAAGGGAAAAATGTGTATTTCCACCAACCTAATGACAAGTGGCTGTTTGCAAAGAGGCATATAGGGTACAGGACCAAAGATCTCTGTGATTGCCATTCCCTGGTCTTTATGCTAACCTAAGCTAACCGTCTGTTGGCTGTAGCTTCATATTGATCAGATACACTCGAGTGGTGTCACTTCTGTCATCATGACGACTGAGAAAAAAAGGAAAAAAGCAAGTTGTTTCCTAAAACGTTAAACAATACTTATCTAAAAACGGACACGTTTGCCTTCTCCTGTAAAGCTGCGCAAACCTAAAACTTAAGCTTCATTTTCATTTCTAATACAGAAGCGGATTCAGGGCCTCACTTATAAACTTCGAGCTTTTAATCTGTTGCATAATAACGACAATCTACCATCAGAAGATCCAGAAAACTAAACTTATAACAGCGAATGTGTTATAAACGAGGCCTCTGAGATCTACATTCAGCAAATTAAATATGTCTCATCAGTATTTACACAATGTTTGGATGGTGCTTCTCCGAGCGATGACAGTCTGTCGTGAAGGCCTCCCATTGGTGCTCCAAGAGGAGGGGCGTTGCTTGTGGATCCAGGTGGGGTGGTGAGCATGCACTGAGTTGTTTATGGTCGTCTGCAACAAGAGGCAAATCTCTGAGACTGTCTTATATCCAGTTTATGTGTAAGTGATATATTTGTTAACTGCCCCCTGGTGGTAGCCATGTGTAAGACAAGCAAAGGAAATTATATTTCGTAAAATAGAAAACAGATTTTTGCACTCACAGGATTATGTTGCTGTTGTGGGTTCAGTTGTTATGAATATCAACACCTCCGGCTCTGATGGAGCTGCAGATCGGGGAGGACAGTGGATGATGTCCGGGCCGGATAGGCTTTGCTGAAAACACAAAAAAGAGGACATCTTGATCCATTGCCTGATTTATCTTTCTCCCAGGGATCCATATTCAGGTCTGTTTTTTTATCCAGTGTTTTATTTTTTGTTTGTTTGTTTCAAGTTTAAACCAGCTCAGATATTTCAATTTTTCTGGTTGAAATATCAACTGGAAAAGCTACTCTCAGAGGGATTGAATCCCTGGCTGCCCTTCCCTGAGTATAGTTCTCCTGGAAGTCACTTCCTGTTAAAATGGAGTTCTTCCCCACCTCAGTCACCAGGGTATAATCTGTACTATGAAACAGGTTTAACATTGCAGTTTGACTTGGGCTGACTACAATCCCTCTCACACAAATTGGAAAATTTTGCAAATATTTGAGTCAGATTGTGCTGATAAGCATCTATTTGCAATAGTGTTCTATTGAAGTAACACACACAAATGGCTGTAATCTGTGTTTTAAAAGCACAGCAACAAAAGCATCAGTGTCCAGGCCACAGAAACAATCCTGCCAATCAGCATGCTTTCAGCAAAAACAATTTAAATTGCTACTCTTTAGCGTAAAGATGGTTATTTAAACATATAGAAGTTATCTAGAAACACTATCACTCATTCGGAAATGTATTTGTGTCCAGGTTCAGCTACGGTGCTGGTGGCAGGTTTCACCCCTGTGTGAACCGGTCTTCTTTGTCCGACAGCTGTCACATGAGCACATCTATCTCAGTGAAATAATAAATGGAAGTAAAACCTCACCGATCTGTGCAGAGTATCCCCTCCTGGCCATGTTCTTGGCCCGCACAGCCTCTTTGATCCGGTCCACCTCCTGCTGGTAGCGCTTGCGGTCCCTCATGGCGTTCTCCTTGGCCTCCTTCAAGGCGTTCTCCAGCGCTTTGACTCGCTCGGCCGTGGCTCGCAGACGCTTCTCCAGCTTGGGCAGTTCGCAGCGAAGGTCTGCATTGTCCCGGACCAGCTGAGGGCGGCGGCATGAAGTTACTGAGCATTATTTTATCGCACTGTATCTCACAGCGCTCAGCATTTCTGTTTTATAATGATTTTACGGATTCAGCCTCTGTATAGCAACCGTACCTGTTTGTGGACCTTAGTCAGCTGCTCCAAATTGTTCTCCAAGAAGGAGATTTTCTGTTTCTGTGCAATGTTGCTGAGTCCCTCCTCACAGTCAAGCTCTGCACTCTTATAATAGAGGAAAATTACACCAAACTACATTAAACGACCAGTCATATGTGTCAACAGTAAAAAGATCTACCTTCTTAACCCGTGCAGTGAGGTCCTGGACGAAGAGTTTGCGCAGGTTGTGCAGAGTTTGCAGCTCTTTGGCCTGAGTGAACAAGAAGGGAGTGAAAGCTGGAAGTTAGACCCACATAATAGTTCTGGGATTTACATTTTCCAGAAGGTTCTTCCTTTTTAAAGTGAGTTCTTCCTCCCCACTGTCGCCAAGTATTTGCTCATAGGGAATCATCAGACTGTTGTTTTTTTCCTTTTAATTCAGTTCAGTTGAATTCATTTGTATGTAAATACTCTTAAATTAAATTGAACTGAATTAAAGATGTCATCAGGTTTATTCTACCATCGGCCAAACCTAAGGTGAAACCTGAAAAAGCCATGGTCATGTGAAGTGGGTGTTTTGAACGGCACTTCAGATCAGTGCTTCGTAAGCTCAACACAGCGTTGAAACATCAGTATCCAGCTTCCCATCCCTACTCAGGGTATTCAATTAAATTCTGTTCCATTTATACAGCATCAAATCACAGCCGTTTGAGGCTCGATCACTGAAACTCCCCTTTTTATGTAAATGTAAGAAAAAGAAGTTTTAAGAAATATGTCCGAACGACTCTTTGGGATGAAGTTGTGAACAGCTGGATCAATGAGATGCACTATACTAACAACATTTCTTTAATCCTCTGACTTGCCTCCATTTTCATTAAATATATTACAAAGCACTGTTTTTGAGTAAGCCTGCATTGGTGCAGACTTCCAGCAGTTTCTTTGCTTTGCTATGTGACTAAACAGACATCTAAGGTTAGAACAGCTGTGACTTCAAAGGTGAGAGTGGTTATGGGGCCATCACTGAGTCTCACCACAGTCTCCTCCAGGCCCTTCAGGTCCTCTCGGGCCTGCTCCCTTTGTTCATTCAGCAGCCTGTACAGAAAACAGAGCAATAATCAAACCATGTGACACTTTTATTGTCTCAAATTAACTCTAAGATGCTTGTGTTCACCTACACGAGCCTCTCCAGCTTTGCATTCTTCTCCTGCTCCTCCGCCTGCAGTTTGTAGTAATCCGACATGAGTCGCTCCTGCTCCAGTAACAGCCCCTGATTTAGACTGAGAGGGGGAAACTGTTTTAATAAATACGCTCTCTAGTTTCAGAAAATGTGGTTTGGAATCGAAGCATGTTTAGTTGGAGGCTCTAAAGTTGCAGGTTGAGGCCTTGAAAGTCACTTTCTAGTCATGTTAACTCTTCTTTTGAAGCAGAAGCTGACTTTGAGCCCAGATCTTTGATCGCTTTCAGGCAGTAGCTCCTTGCTCGCACTTGTTCTCTGAGCTGCTTCTTCTCCTCAGTAGTCCCCCTTTGAAGACAACCTGAGTGGAAATCCCTACTCTGAGGGCTGAGGGGAATATTAAAATGGTTATATGTGTGTATCTGCTCGTGGCCTGAGCTCGTCTGAAAAGATCAGGATTTGTGTAGAACAGTTTCAAATCTAAAACCTGAGCACATCTGTGGGTTTCCCTGTGATATCTCTCCCCTAATCTCCCATCGTCTCCCCCCTGCTGTGCTGTTACATCCTCAGAGTTGGTTTGTGTGCGTCAGTGTGTGCGTTTGCTGATGTTTTCTCACTCTCTGAGCTCGTCCAGCATCCTCTGTTTGTCTTCGATCTCATCCCGCAGGCGGCTGAGCTGCTTCTGATGAGCCTCCCTGTGGTTCTCCAGCTGCTCCTCCAGCGTTTTCTGAAGACATAAAAACACATTAGAGCTGAGGTTGGCAACATTATTCCCTCAGAGGACACTGAACAGAAACATGACGCACTAAAATAACCCTACGATAATCCCAAATCCATGATCCAAAATACAAGAGCTTCCTGTTAGAAGCTGCTCGTTTTTCTGGGTCAGTCTGGAGCACTTAAATACTGGATAAACCTATGACATGGACTGTGTTAGACTGTATTAGGTCTAACACTTTAAATCAGGCTACTTGGAAGTGTCTCAGCTACTAGTTAGCTAGTTAACAGTAACTAGTAGTTTACTAGTAGTTAACTACTAGTTACTGGATCTCCTGCCTTCAATCTGACCTGGAACATGAACAAATATGAACAAATGTCTTGAATCAACCCTCATGTCTTTACGCTTTACTTCCAAGCCGCCAGATTTTCTTTTTTTTCAATTGTTTTTGAGCAATAGTTCTCAGGCTTTCTGAAGCTCTTTCAAAGGTTTTATTTGGACATTGGCTGCTTTTTCACTCATTTGCAGTCCAGTGCTTGTACCTGATCATCTTTAGAAGCATTTTTCCAGCCAGTGGTGGTGGAGACCTTGTTAAAATTATCAACTATGAAAACAGAGAAGTACCATCAGATTTTGATACACCATCCAAAATCATCTGGAAAGCATATGATTGTCAACAGCTTCATTTTTCAGCGTGACAATGATCTCAAACACATTGTTAATGCAGTAAAAACACACAGTGGAGCACTATCAGACATGGATTGATCTCCCCAGAGCCCGGACCTCAACATTATTGAAGCAGTGTGGGATCATGTTGACAGAGAACAGAACAAAAGGCAGAAACATCCAAAGAAGAGCTTTGAATGTCCTTCAAGAAGCCGGGAGAACTATTCCTGAAGACTACTTAAAGAAACAACAAGAAAGAGAGTTCAGACTGTGCTGAACTCTGTTAGGTTCCAGATTTTAATATTTTGTAAAAATCAAAATCAATTTTGTGCTGTATTTTTTTTACCTTGATGTCATCGTCTCCGCCCGCTCTGCCGATGTCCTCCTTCTCCTTTTCCTCGTGCATTTTCTCTAAAGACAGAATAATTGTGCTGTGTCAGAAACCGGAGGCAAAGACCAAATTTACTCACAAAGCTAAACTCTCAAACTTCAAACTATGAGATATTTTACTGAAAGACAATTTAAATCAAGTCTGATGAAACAGACAAAAGACTTCCCACCGGGGGTCAAACCATAGACTCACAGACTCAAACACAACCAAAGACAAACCCTCACCTTCATAGCGTAGTTACTCAGCCCACCCTTTTTGTCAAATTCATCTTAATCGTAAAAAAAAAACCAACCTCTGATGTGCAAGACTATATCACATCCATCGCCTGGATATGTCATAAGGCGACTGTCTTCTTCCACAAAAGCAAAAACCAAAGAAAGTGTAATGATGCTTGGAACGCATGAACACAGTGCACACACAATACACATGTGAAATTTGACTAATGTGGATGTAGGGGTTAAAGACGGCCTCAAAGGTTCAGAATGGCAGTTTAATGCACATTACTGGCAATTATTTCTTATGTGCTGCAGACTGACTGCATGGACACATTTGCTCAGTAATAATAATAAAATCCCACGGCCCACTTATACCTTCATGTGATGCGTTCATGGTGCAGATGCAAATGAAGTCGTAGTTGTGATACTTCAGTGTCTAGCTAGTGATAGAGCAGCAGACAATAATAATCATTATCATCATTCTTCTTCTTCTTATTATTGAGTAATTATTTTCACCACACAGCACTGATGCACCTGATCCTAAGGTCCCCCTGCCTGCCAGATCCCACTTTAGCCCCTGTGGTGATACTCAGACATAATATACTGGCCACTCGTGCTCAGAGCACCCTGCATGTTGTAAGATACAGTGTCGTTAAGTCCTAATCTATGTGATACTCCAGTGATGGATAAAGTTCAAATTAAAGACCTTCCAGTGCTTTCTTTGTGTGTAACTGAGGTATAAAGAAAACCTAAAAAACACACTGATTAAATAATGGTTATTGAATGAGTAACAACTAAAAGGATAAAATGGTGTCTCATACATTAGAAACATCTTTGTCTTTGTTGTTTTGAGCTTTTCTTTTTTTCGGGCTGGGATGACATGTCAGCTGTGCTCATACTGCCTAACTGTATAAATGAGTCTGGTTTTTAAGAGTCTGTGGAGGTTTCTAGGACCGACCTTGAGCGTGCAGTTTGGCGAGCTCTTCGGTGAGAGCGTCCTGACTCTCCTCCAGCTGCCTTTTCTTCTGCTCCATGTTCTGCATGTAGTCGGTCAGAGACTTTATCTTGGCCTGATGCTGCAGGGACAGCAACACGTGACTGACACTCTACCAAACCCCAGGAGAACTCTGTTAGCGTGACGAAGTCAGGTGACGCTTACCTGGGAGATGAGCAGCTGACAGGACGCCAGCTCCTTCTCGTTCGCCTGAATCTTGCGGTGGGCGTCGGCCTGGGCGCTCTCCAGCTGCTTGCTGCGGTTGACCAAAGACTTGACCTCGGACTTCATCTTGCTGATGTAGAGGCGAGCAACGGTAAAGTCCTCCTCCAGCGCCGAGCCGTTCCCCTTCATCTCTGAGCACTGAGAGGGAAGGAGGACGGGCCGGGTTAAAGGGTCATGTGTCTGTTTCGGGTAAGGTTGGTAAGGTTTTTGTCATGTGGACGTGGGTGCTCACCGCAGCCGTCTTGACATCGCTGGTGCCAATGATGGCGCCGATGTCACTGAGGTCTCTCAGCAGAAGGTTGAGGACCTCGGCAGCACGCTTTCTCTGCAGGCCGTTTAGCTCCTGCAGCTGACTCACCTCCCTCTCAAGCACCGACAGCAGCGCCTGAGGATGCCGCCACAAAGACAGCCTGTCAGCATGCCTCTGCATCGCTGCACTTCATGTGTAATCTAGTAGTATTCAGGAAAGTCACCACCCACCGTCTTGTGCTGCAGCTTCTCGGTCAGCTGCGCGTTGGCTTGGTTTCGCTCCTCCACCTCTTGGCTCTTCTGGTCGTAGTTAACTGCCAGCTCCTCCAGGGCCTGAAGCACCTCCTTCACCTCCTCCTTGGCTAGCTCGTTCTCCGTCTGCAGCCGGCACAGCTCCTCCTGGATCTTGTCATAGTCGCGTCGTGTTGACGCCAGCAGCTGCACAGATTTTAAAAAAAAACACATGTCAGAGGAAATACGCAGGCATGCTCTGTCATTACTATTAACCTGAGCTGGGAGACAAACCTCTTCTTGATCCATCATCTGCTCCTTGAGTTTCTCCGCCAGCTGACTGTGTTGGTTAATTTCGTCATCCTGTCAGCGGCAATAAAATATACAGAGTTTCAGGAATTGTTTAAATAACAAGGGCAGTATGTGTACATGTAATCCCTGTGAGCCCAAAGCTCAGGCTTCAGACTGATCGAACACTCTTGGCTCTGTGGTTCATCATATAGGTATATATCAGCTATATGATATATATATAGGCAGGTGGTTCACCATATATGTGAACCACCTGCCATTCAAATCTATTTTTATGAGGGGCAGCCAATCAGAAGAAAGGGGGAGGAGCTCGAACACGTTGTTCCAGACAGAAGATGAATAAAACCCATCCTGAGATAGCTGTATGTGACATGTTTACAATAAACCAGCTTTAGCCTCGTCCTGTTGCTCACCTTGTCATCCAGCTGTTTGTACAGGTTCCTTACGTCCTCCTCGTACTTCCTCCTCTCGTCACCGGAGACGGAGACACCTCCTCCGGCTGGCAGCAGGTTGTCGATGATGGGAGTGTTGTCGTACGGCTCGCCACTCCTCTGATCTTTAGAGCTCTGCTGCTCCTCCTCAGGAACGTTCTCCCCTGCGATAGGAACTCACTTGTTAGATATTCTACTCATGCATCCATTATATACACACATGTTAGTGTGACGACGTTTTAAACACTCTGATCGTGCCATATGTTGTGGTATGGTGTCACATCGAGTAGCACCATAGTTGTTACATCATGCCTCAGTGCGTCGCATCATATAATCTTAATTTTGTGGAAGAATTTTTAAATCACGATAAAAGTGTAAATACTGTAATAAGTGCAATAACTAAGCCTCAGTTTACGCATTTTGAAGTAACAAACCAGATGTTGATGCTCAAGCAGGCTTCATAAATGAAGTGGGAAGAAGGGTTCACCTCTCTGAAAAGAACACAGCAGCATAGCTTAGGGTCTGCAAAGATGCATCTGAACAAACCACAAATTCTTTTGGACATTAGAGACTAAAGTGGAGACGTTTTATTGTAATGCACAAAACCAAATTAATCATCTGCAACGTGCATGTAGGGTAGTAAATCCTGGCAGCAGTCCTTTAACATAAAAGGAACAATTGTTGCCTTGCAGTCAAGATAACACCAGGATACTGTAGTTTATCAAAGTAAATTAGATAAGTTATTATCAGATAATTAAAATAAACCTGATGCATTTCCTGAAACATCAGGTTTGGGGCTGGCTACGTTTGTAAGCCAGCACACAACTTACTATTATTATTACTATTTTTACAATTCTGATGATTTTCCTTCAGGAGAAAACTGCATCAGTTATACTGACTGAGTGAAATCATGCTGACTTCACCAGTGTTTGTGTGATTATTGATTTTCTAACTGTGGGTTTGGTGATAAAAGCCAGCAGCTAATGAGGAGATGGAGCCGAGGACAGACTGAAGGAGGCGGAGAGCTGCTTCCTTTTAAACGGCAGGGCAGGAAGCCAGCGGCTGACTCAAACCACAAACACTGTATCAACATGATGTGTGTGTATGTGTGTGTGTGAGAGCGCTGCATTTACATGTCAGGAGCTTTGGCTGCTGCAGCTGAGCTGATTTGATGCTAAGGAGGGGGAGTGTTATCAGCATCCACAGGGGAATTAAACATTAAAATGCAACAATGGCCACAGAAAGAAAGGGGGAGGAGGGGGGTGAAGGCGGGGAGGCATTAAAGCAAAGAAAGGACTGAGAGGAGGAGGAGGAGTGGTTACTATGCAACAGAAATGGGGGAAAAAGGGCGAGGATGCTGTGAAGGAGACCCTGCAGTCTCAGCAGAGAGGGAGGAAGTGTGGTGGGGAAACACACACAGGCAGCGTGGCGTCCTTCATGGTGGGGTTATGCAGAATCTACAACATTCGGGCAGGACAAGGCGTGAGCCGATCAGGCCCCACACATTATCACAGCGGCAGATTAATCTGAGCAGTAATTACATGTGATTTCCAGACGTCACAGACTGAGCATGTGCACACACAGCTACCTAAAAGAGCCTGTGCGGTTAATGACACTCGAGTTTCTCAGGCCGCCGCCCACTTTTTTTTTATTTCTGCTTGTTGGCATGCATGGAGAAAAAAACATTTTCTGTGTGTGTGTGTCACAGAGAGCATCTGACTCTCAAAGGTCAAAGGTCAAAGTCTCCTAAAAACAAAGTAGCAGCTACTAGTACACACCACTACTGCACTATTTAATCATCAGCAATTCATTTTAATCTCTGATAGCTTTAATAGGGGTTTTTCCTTCTCACTGACACCAAATGCTTACTCACAGGGTGGGTGTCGTCTGACTGCTGAGGTTTTCTCTGTATTATTTTAGGGTCTTTATCTTACAGAATATAAAGTACCTTAAGGGAACTGTTGTTGTGATTTGGCGCTATATAAATAAAACTCATTTTAAATGAACGTTCAAACGGTTTTAGAAAAAAGAGAAGGCGAGTTTTACTGGAATATTCGGCGTATCACTGTATAGCAAAGCATTCACAAAGTCTGAACACAGAAAAATCAGCAACTCCTAGATTTTACTATGTGCATTTCACAGTTTGAGCTACAGCGGAAATTTAAATGGTTCATGTAAGATGAGAATTATTTGGTAATTTTACAGCCAAATATGACAAAATGAGTCCAGACAGTCTGTAAGATACTCGGGTGATAAAGTGTCAAAGCTTTTCAACTTTTTGAAGCTGATGATGCTCCAGATTGGAGAGCAACAGCTCCTACAGACCAATCCAATCTCAGGAAAATAGTGTCACCACTCCTCAGGTCCTTCAGACCTCGGTGCACAGAGAAATAAGCAGACGAGCGGTGAACAAGTAGCCACGCTCTGCTAGGTATTCACATGTTAAGATGTAAGGAAAGGAGGCTGCTGATGATGCTCCACTTTGATTGCTTTCTGTGTTGTGAGTCATTACAAAACATCCATCCATTTTCCTCCATTTATCCAGAGTCAGGTCGCAGATTGCGCAGGTCTTTCCAGACGTCCTTTCCTCATCAACACTAGATGAAATATTTAATAACTCCAGTGACTTCTGGGTCTATCGAGGGTCTCTTCCCAGGTGGTACGTCTCCACCAGTTGGATGGGGTGCTCTGATATCCCCTTATTGTGGTTGTTTCTCATGTTGAGACGTCTCAAATAGAACGTGTTGAGCACTTTTTTCCTGCCTGGTGTAAGTTCAACCTTTAATTTTAAAGTCTGCCCAAAGTCCTTACAGATCCGGGTAAACCAATCTATCAGGCTTTGGAGGTCCCACTGTGATATGAAATCATGGCACCTAAAGGATAGTTCAGGAGCGTAGGGAAGGAGATGCCGAACAGCGTCAGCACGAGAACGTAACCTTGCTGGATCTCTAACACTAAGGAGGCAAGGCAGAGGAGCTTCTTCTTCTGTTCTCCGTACCTCCTCTGGAGTTCTTGAAGGGTTGACGTGCCCAGAAGAACTCCAAAGAGAGGCGTCAGCGAGGCCACCAAACTACCTCTGGGGAGTCCAGCTTGTACCCACAACCCTGTTCTTTTAGTCACTACCCAGAGCTCATGGCCATCGGTGAGGGCTGGACCGTGGATCACTCGCCTGCTAAATCAAAAACTCTCTCTTGGCTCTGTCTTCACCACAACTGTCCATCCCACCCTTCGTCCACCTTCCCATCACACGTTCACAAAGCAGTTGCTGTAAAACTAGGGCCTCTTTATTAGCTTCCTTGGTAAACATCTCAGGCTGAGGTCTGAGGTCTGCTTGGTGGGACTTATTACAGAGTTACGCATCAGATGTCCTGATTAAGATAATTAAGTTCTATCTTATCTTATCTTAATCAGGACATCTGATGCGTAACTCTGTAATAAGTCCCACCAAGCAGCAACTGTGCAACAGAAGGTGGGTTCCCTTTGAAATATCATTTATTTAAAGGTATAGAAATGAGTGCACAGGAAGCAGAAAGGCAGCACGTTAACTATTCATAACTTACTGTGGAGCTGTACGATACAACAACAATGTATGTTGGTCACAAAAACCCAACATCCCACTGCGTAACCACCGATCAACACTCAGGAGCTCACAGCAGCTGTTTCCTTTAATCAGCCCTTGCAGGCCGCTTTAATCTCACCGTTTCTCCAGCGGTTGAGTTCAGCCTCCAGCCTCTGGATGATGCTCTTCAGGTTCTTGTTCTTCTCCTTCTCCTTCTCGTATTTCTTCTTCCACTCCTCGGCCGTCAGCTCCAGGTTCACAGACACTGTGTTCTTGATGGTCTTCGCTCTGAGCGGACACAGACAGTAAGCATTAGTCTTTTAATTAATCTCATCGTGCCTGATTGTTAGAATTCTTCTCTGGACTCTATTGACAGTTTGTTCCAGCTCATTGAGTTAATATAGTAATCGAATCAAAATACTGAGCTGAACTTTAAGTGTGGTTCATCTTACAGTAATGGACAGGGGTTAGATTGGGATTAAGTTTTAGGCATCAAATTCCACCTTTATGTTCCACATTCATGTAACATCTATTAAAGTGTGTTTGATTCAGCAGCTTAAATCAAAGAAAACTAATAATCTGGTGACTTATTTGTGATTATTCCTGCTGCACAGCTACACAGGATCTCAGTCTTCCCCTGCCCACCAAATGTCAAGTTAACCCCTGATTACAATGATTAAAAGCAACATTTTCAGGTTTATTTTCCACTACTTAGTTTCTACTTCTTTAAAAATCATCTGCTGAAAACAAGAGCTTACAAAAAAAACCCACACAGGCAGGAATTTGATCATCTGACCATGCAAGTTTGCAACATTCAGCATGATCAGATGAAAGTAGTCGGAGCATCCAAGAGTTTAAGCCTTTTTTCCCTTTTCCCTGCAGGTAAGCATGTTTTTGCTGTCTTAGTGGAAATAAAGCAACACATTTTACAGCTGTTTCTGAGTGTGTTTTCTACCTTTCCACCTAATACAGTCACTTCCACATGCTACATGTGTGAGTCTGCTTTCTCCCAGAGGACCTCCGCCCCTCTCGATCTTTCCTCTCATGATGGAAATCTCCTAATTAATTGAATTTCCTCTTAGCCGAGGGCAGATGGTTGCACAGTAATCAGCCTCTGTGACACTGCTCAGTCTGAACTCACTGATCAAGGCTCAGTGGATTTCAGCTTGATTTTTAAAATAAATGATTACATCGCTGCTGTCGAGGATCTTTACAGATGCGTCACTTTTATGAAACTGTAACATCTAAAGAAGTGAAGCAGATGAATGAAATGTGCTTCAGAATGAAGTGTGAGGAAAAGACTGTGTAGAAAATAGAAAATGTTCATTATTCTCAGTTTTACATGACGTGAAAACAAGAAGGCGGCAGTGTCGGAGTCTATAAATAAGAATAAACCCAGATGCACAGCGGGAATCTCAGAGCCATCTGTTTGCTAGTTTGCACCAAATGAGTCACTGTGTACCTTTGCAGATGGACTGGATACACTGATACTCTCCCACAAACACAAACAGCAACTCTGTGTTTGATTCAAAACTGACTTTAGCTTTTTCTTTTGTAATTGTTAAGTTTTTCGTTTGCAGAAGTGCAAAAAATTTGTCTTGTAGCTATTTGAGGATCCAGTTTCCTGCTTCGTAACAGCTGTATGTGAGGAAAGGTTTATATAACCTGAGTCAGACTTTTAAGGTGGTCTCGAGCAACAGTTCTCCAGGCTTTCTGAATGTCTTTGGCTGTTTTTTAAACTAATTTTCAGGCTACATCCACATGTACCCGGGTATTTTTGAAAATGCAGATTTTTCTATGCGTTTGCACCTTTCGTCCACACGTAAACGCCGTTTTTGGTCACTGAAAACTGAGATTTTCCTGCCAGGGTGAAGATTTTCGAAAACTCAGTTTTTGCATTTAGGTGCGGATGAGGAAAACAGAGAAAACGCAGGTCAAAGGTGTGCGCCTTTTTTGACGTCACACTGTGCGCCACGTTATTGTTTCGGTGAAATGAATTTCTACAATGGCGTACTTAGACAAAATACTGTTAACTTTACTCTCTGTAGTGTTTACATGCTTACATATACACACAGTTTCTGTCCCTCCACACATAGTACTCAGCTCTGCTTCTATGCGCCATCTTTGTTTACTATTTCCCACCCAGGCTTCTAGACTTCTGATTGGCCAACATTTCTACACAGTTAGGAATATATTGCCACCTGTTGCTTTGGCACGTTCATAGCAGCGTTTTCCTTCGTTTTTGCGTTTACATGTGGAAGGGATTTTTTTTTTAAAACGAAAACGGAAAATCTCAGTTTTCAAAAATACCCATGTACGTGTGGACGTAGCCTCAGTCTAATCATAATTTGCTCCAATTTCTTTGGTTGAATCTGTGAAAAATACCAAAGATAACACAGTCTGACAGACATAAACTAGTATTTTTGGATCAACAAGGTGATTCCCAGAGAGCTATTAGCTAAAAACTTGACATATATGAGCAGTGTGTGCAGTGTGGCCTTAAAAAATTTGAGGAAACTGGACAAAAGAAGAAGTGGGACAAAAAGTATCTGAAAGTATGTGGCGGATGTGGTTCCACTGCATAGGAGTAGTGGTGCAGTGGGTTCGGGGAGCAGTACCAGGGAAGGGGCAGGGTAGTTGGAGGTCTTTGATGAACATAGCTATGAAGGAGGAAAGTTTTTTTGTGTTTCTCTTCCTCTGTTAAAAATATGAGGTGGTTGTGGTTACTTCAGATGAAACTGTACATGGTGGTACGTAAAATCTTAGCTGTTTAAAGGATGAAAGACTCCTTTTTAAAATTTCTGTTGTTTTTTTTTTATGTATTAATTATGGAAAAAATGGAAAAAAGAAAGTAAAAAACATTGCCCTGTTTTGGCACTGAGTACATTAGACAGAAGAGCTCGCAGATACCTCTGTCCAAACATGAGCGTGGACTTGGTCTCGGCCTCGTTGTAGATGGACGGTGAGCAGCAGATGATGATGGTGGTGCGACAGTTCCCTCCCAAAGAGTCCTGCAGGATCCGAGTCATCTTACTGTCTCTGTACGGCACGTGGGTTTTCTGAAGAAAAGAAAATACAGCTGTGCTGAGGTTTTCTAATATTTCATACTTCTTCACTTACATACGAAACAGAACTGGAATGGACTTACGGTGCCCTCAGCCAGAGCTGAGATGACGTTTCCCAGCGCTGAGAGAGATTTGTTGATGTTCTTTGCCTCGTCCAGCACCGCCCCCTCAGCTCCCGTCTTGCTCACCTGACCAAACAGCGATCGAACAGGTTATCAATCAGCTTTACAGCTCAGGAAAGTCTCGAAGCAAACCCTAACGACACGTTTCTGATCTCGCTTGGACCAACCTTCTCGCTGCCAGCCAGGTCGACCAGGTAGAGCTTCCCAGACAGCTTCTTCTCCGTCTCTACGTTTTCCTGCTTTATGTTGATGAGGAAGATGCTGTGGCTGCGAGAGCTGTGCTCGTTCATGTCTACAAAATTAAGCAAAAAAATCATTACAACCGCAGAAAAGAAACCAGAAAAGGCTTTTTATCTTCTTTTAAGATTTCAGGTGAAATTAAAACATTTAAATCTAGATATTGAGGTGTTTCTGCCTCCTTAAGAAGTTTCAGGAGCTGTGCTAAAATCCTGACTTTTAGGGCTTTGCCGCTAACTTGATGGATATTAAGAGGTTAAAGGACCTTTTGTGTTTATTCTGGGACTCCATACAAATAGTTTTGAACAATTCCCAGCTTCTAACGAAGCAGACTGGCTGCCCCTTGCCTAACTTCCATAAACACAGAACCTGTTGACTTTAAGCGCCACCTCCTCCCACCACCTCAGCCTGCAGGGATGAGCAGAGCGAACGTGTCCATCAACACAAAGGAAGAAGGTCATCATCGACTTCAGGGAGAAACTGCCCCTACCCTCCTCAATATTAAAGGTGACTGCATGGCGAAGGTTTCCTCTTTCAAATTATGGGGCCTTATATCACTGTGGACCTCTCCTGGTCAGAAGACACAGTTACAGTGCTGAGGAAGGCCCAACAGTGACTCCACCTCCTGTAGAGTTTCTCGGGAGGAACAAACTGGAGGTGAAGCAGCTGCTGATGCTGTACAGCTCCACCACAGAGAGTCTGTGTGGATAGACCAGCTGCTCTACAGTGTGAACCAAAATCTGAGGAATGTCTCAGCAACTTGTCGAATCTATGACGATTCACGACAGCTCTGAAGGCAACAGAAGGTCCCAACATGATACAGGCAAGGTGTATCTAATAAAGTGGTCAGTGAGTGTAGAAATGAATACCAGGAAACCTTTTAAAAATGTGCCGCTTTTGAAGCAGACATATAAAAATACGTACTGGTCACTGCTACATGCCGATTGGATTTGCCCTCATCGATGACGTCCATCACCTCCTCTGGACTGGACACAAAACGCTCAGTGCAGCCCTGAAAAGGAGAATCATGACCTGCAGCAGCCAGTGTGGACATGAGCATCGATTACAGGATAAAGAAAAGACCGAAAAATCGCAGTTTTAAGGTTTTTAGGTGTAGTAAACCTGCACAGACGACTGAAACGGTAACTGAATCACTCGTTCATCTAAAATTAAACATTCGCTGAGTTGAAGCTCCAGCTCAGGCACACGGGGAGATTAAATATATAAACCTCTTCACTTCTTAACAAATGAAAAGCTAAACCTGCAGGATCCTCATGCAGGAAACACATGACTGTGTCACAGCTCTCGCTCAGCTCACAAACCTTCACATAAGGCACTCTGTTCTTGTCTTCGTGGACGGAGAGGTTCGTCTTTGACACTTCAGACAGAAAAAAGATCACAAAAGTCACAGTTGAAGAAAAACAGACTGCTGAGTGCTTCAGATAAACAGCCTCTCTTACCGTCCAGCAGGTCTCGGATCTTGTCCAAGTAGATTTCAAAATAAGAGACCTGCATAGAGAAATGCATCTGTCTCACAAATCTAAAAACTTTTAATTCATTGCCCTGAACATGAATTCATCCTCCTCACTTTGTCAGATTTAAGGTCTTTACTGCACCGTAAACTCAATCATTTACCTTTTATTTCACATAAAACATTTTTGGGTTGTGTGTGTGCTTTTCCTTTCACAGACTTTGTTAACAAACATCTCAGAGACGGCCACAGGCTGCAGGTCTCCAGTGCAGCGGCTCACACCTGACATTTAGTTCATTTTTCAGGAGGTAAACTGTGAATGACTCCTGTTCTCACCTTGATGTGGAACTCGAGGTTCTCGTCCATCGAGTAGATGTGGTCGAAGATGTCGCGGGCGATGCGAGGGATGATGCCCATCAGCTGCGGGTCATGCAGTTTGCCCTGAACACAACAACAGTCATGTGTTATACTACAGCGATGCAGTTTTTGCAGTCAAATCAAATCAAATCAAATCACTTTTATTGTCACATCACATGTGCAGGTACATTGGTACAGCACATGTGAGTGAAATTCTTGTGTGCGAGCTTCACAAGCAACAGAGTTGTGCAAAATACAATAAGTAAACAAGCAAAATACAAGAATGGCTACATCTGAAACTAATAAATATATGTACAATATATAATAGTATATGCATTTCTGGATGTGTATACTAAATATTTATGTCTAGTGTGTGTGTGTGGTGCGGTGTGTTTGTGTGTGTGTGGTGTGTTAGTGTGGTGTGTGTGTACACATATTTTTACATAATTAAATAGAGTACAATAAATAAATATAAAAATATACAGGAGTGTGAATATGTGTCAAAACAGTTGGCATTGACTGTAAGTAGTGATGTGCTAGTGTTTATAGTGTCAGTAGTGAAGCTGGAGGTGTTATGAAAGTGTTCAGCATTCTGGATGGCCTGATGAAGAAGCTGTCTTCAGTCTGCTGGTCGGGACGATGCTGGTCTAGAACGCTCCTTTGATGGAAGCGTCTGACAGTTTATTGGCTGGTGGTGACTGATCCTTGAGGATCACTCCGTCGTTCCTCAGGCACCGCTTCTGTAGTTGTCTTGGAGGGGGGAGCTCACTCCAATTTTATCCGTTCAGGTAGCACCTGCACTATCTCGCTGTGAGAGCTTTGCAGTTGTAGGCGGTGCGTTGCCATAGCAGGTGGTGTATGCATCCAGTGAGGATGCTCTCATGGCACAGTGATAGAAGGTTCCTGAGGATGCGGGGGCTCATGCTGATATCTTTTCAGTCTCCTGAGAAAGAAGAGGCGCTGCTGGCGCCTTCTTCACTGTTTTGTTTGTGTGTAACTGACCGTCGTTTTAAAGGATCCTCTATGCTCAGATGTTATCTCAAGGAACCGGGATAGCTGTCATCTCTCACGTTTTTACAGTTCAACCCAAGCAGCAGCGTTGATGTGGTGATTGGGTGGTTTTTGTGGGTTTACTTCTCTGCACGCTCCGGAGAGTCACACTTATCAGGAATCTCTTGTTTTTGCGACGTTGAGGTGAGATTGTTGTCTATGACACCGATGGGTCTAGGTGCGCTGACCTCGCTCCTGTAAGCCGTCTCTATCAGCACTGTTGTGTGATAAGAATCCACTGTGTTAGTGTCTGTCGCGCTAACTTCACAATGATGTTTGATGGAGTTGTTCAGTGGCCGTTGCAGTCGTAGGTGTTAGAGTGAGTACAGGAGAGGAGTCTTCAGTACACACCCTGTTGGAGCACCAGTGTTGCAGTGTGATGGTGGGATGAGGTGTGCTGCCCAGTCTGAACAAGTCTTGGCGTTGTCAGTACAGGTTGAGCTAAGGTCCAGCCTGCGAGAGGGAGCTGCTCAGTTCCTAGATCCTGCAGTTGTCCTGTCCAGCTTCGAGGTGAACGAGGTTGGTTATTTGAATTGCTGAGCTTTAATCTTACAAACAGCATTTCTACATACGTTCTCTCTTTTTCAGTGTGGACGGGGCAGTGTGTAGTGTCAGGGCTATGGCATCATCAGTGGACCTGTTGTGGCGGTATGCGAACTGTAGAGGGTCAGTCTTTTTCTCCCTTTGATCATTTTGTGTGTAACATGGCTCTTTAATGCTGCCATATGTTGGGGGTGGTAAATACATTAGAGCGTTTCCTAGGCAACCGGAGCCTGAAACGTCCGCTGGTGACCAACAAATGGTGACTATTTTCTCGTTCTCGTTTCTCTTTCCTCTTAACTCCCCAAACAGCTCCAGCATGTTGCCGTGTTTCTTCCTGTTATAAACGGCGGGTTATTTTTACCCACAGTCCCCAACTGCTTGCTCACAGAGGATGTTGCGATATAAAGCATGTTGAGTTGACTGTTGTCATGACCTTGTGCTATATGATTTAAACTGATCTTCATTGTTATTAGCTGAACAGGCGCGTTGCAAAGAAACTGCATCCTCTGTCAGTTCTAAGGTTTCACGTAGCAGGACAGTTTACATTTTACTCTAGAATATTTTGGTATCGAGATGAATTCATGGTCGACTCAATGGCTGCAAGGTACCCAGGTCCTGTGGCTGCAAAGCCCAATTTCAAAGCCTTTTTAAATGAAGAAATTTAAAAAAGAACATCTGGGTTCAGAAGTGGACTTAAAAGTTTGACTTAAAGAGGGTGAAGCAGAGATCAGATCAGAGAATTAAAACCAGGCTTGAGGATTAGACTCAGAGCTGAAGTTACACTGGTGACATGCCGAAATGACGAAGAGCTCCTCTGACCATTTTCTACTCATTCAATTTCACTCCTTTAAAACACACGCTGAGTTGGACGTGATGATTAAAGGCTTTTCCAAGATGTTAACCTTACCAGCTTTTGATTCCTTGAATCCTACCCCTCGCACGAGCCTGAGTGGGTTTCCTGTTGGCAGTAAGCCTGTTACACAACGCCCGCTGTGCTCTAATCCGCCAACTGTTTGAAAGTTCCAAATAAAAGTCACCGCACGTCTTTACACAAAGGGCTTTAGAGAGTATTTGCTGTCACTTTGATAGTCTTTAGTCACCTTTATGTAAAAAAGCTGTAACTTCAAAGGAATGAAACCCCTCTGCAGCTGACATCTGGTCACTAGGGTTTAAGAGCACACATGATCTAATGAGCGTCTCACCTCCATGGTGTGGGTCTTCCCGGAGGACGTCTGCCCGTAGGCGAAGATGGTCCCATTGTAGCCGCCCAGCACATCTGGAGTAGCACAAAGACACAAGGGTGCAACAACACAGTCAGACACAGTCCAGCCCGCTTCTCCGGTAAATGAGCACTAAACCTTCACAGTTATAAACACTAGCGCATCCATCTACTGATGCTACCTGCAGAGATTTTTCAGAGGTTATACTAGAAACCAGTAACTGTATGCTGGGTTGAAGGACATTTCAACTCCTAAAATGCATCTAGAGGAGAGAGGAGGCTGGAAGAGAAGGACGCACAGGTGTGTCCTGTGCAGAAGTGCTTTTACCTTCAGTGTATAGGAGGTGTGGCGTGATCAGGATGGACAGGATTAGAAATGATCAGGGGGACAGCTCGGGGTTTGGAGACAAAGTTAGAGAGGTAAGTGAAGGTTTGAGCATGTGCAGAAGAGGGACAACCCATATGATAGACGAAGGATGTTAAAGATGGAGCTGCCAGGCAGGAATGGAAGAAGAAAATTCATGGATTCGTGGCATACAGCTGGAACATATAAACCCTGGTGCGAGGAGACATTTTTAAATAGCTGGCCTATGAATACAACTCTAACATATTACATGTACATGCATACAATATCTAATAGTAATGATGCAGTTTTACTGCCTAAAAATGAATGTCAGCCCCCCAAAACTCCAGCATCAGCCCTGCTGCTCCGGGAAACACTCATTTCCATGGCTCCATTATGTAAAGCAACAATGAAAAAGGATGAAGAGCAGATTAAGTTTGTGTGCAGATGTTCGATAGATGACGGTTACATAAAGAGCTATGCTTCCTCAGTTTAAAGCTTCTTACCTTTCACTATCTGCTTGGCACACTGGTCGTACACTTGCTCCTGCGTCGTGTTGGGAGGCAGCACGCGGTCGAACACGTACGGTTTGCCCTGATTCACAATGACAAAGACAAAAACACACAGCGACAGGCTTCAGAGTCATTGCAGCACCGAACACAGCTGTTCCCAGTCGCCCGTGATATTTAAAACATGATTCACCAAACTGTATCAATAATGCAGATATACTGTTAGAAACAGCCAGATAAGGGGGTTTGGCACGAAGATTCAAACACTCTGGGAAAAGGATTCAAACATGGATACAAAGACCGCCGACTTGTTTTGCTTTATTTTGAATTCTTTGTGAATGTACACCCACCAGTCACTTCATTAGGTACACTCGTTTAACTGCTCGTTAGCTCAAATATTTAAGAGTCTCTGATGAGTCTCAATTTCTGCTGCAGCATTCAGATGGTAGGGTGACACTCTGAAAGCATGGATCCAACCTGCCATTGTATCAGCGCTTCACACCGCCGATGGTGGCGTAATGGTGTGGGTGGATATTTTCTTGGCACACTTTTGCACGATGTTTCCAACAACATGTTGAATCTGTGCCATGAAGAATTAAAGCAGCTCTTAAGGAAAAACGAGGAAGGTGTACCTAATAAAGTGTCTGTTGAGTGAATGAGTTTGGGCTTCTTTTGAGGTTTTATTGTCGTTCCTGGTGTCGTTGGATTTCTGGGTTCCTGTGTTCTATGCTTTCTTTACCGTAGCCTTTATTTCCTGCATCACGTCTTTGAATCGAGTGGTGATTTTTCACTTTTGGATCTCGTGTTTCTGTCAATAAGCTTCCACAGTGTTTCCCCAGCTGTTCCTCCCTGAGTCTTCCTCTCATTTATATACTTATACATATATATAAGCATATACTCCAATCAAAATGCTGATGGAGTTAATTCTATACCTGCTGCAAAGGACAAAGAAACTGAACTTCTCCAGTTTATGGACAAAAAAAGATGGTACTTGTAGCTGCCTCATTAGAGGATGTTTCTGTGGACATGCGTGATTGGTTGCTTTGGATTTTGGATTCAGAGCTTTAACCTATCAGTTTTCATCCTCTCTCTCTTTATCGGTGCAGCTCGAAAATGGGTGAAGCTGGGCCAGAAATCTCTACCATTTCTTCAAAATGCTCCAGTAACTGCCATCCATCATTCATCCAGCTCCTGACTCCTGCTCTAAGGGGAAAAGCCTCATTCCTGCTGCAAAAACGCCACCCTCAGCACTTGGAGGCAGCGGCAGCAGCACTCTGAGCCCCCAAAATACAGCAGAGAAACCCCTGACACAGACAGTATCTGGGTGTGTTTGTCGGTAATGTGCTTCTGCTCTGCTGATTGATGGCACGAGGCGGCGGTGCGCAAGTTTGTCCTGACAGAGGAGAAAGTGTTGCTGGGCGATTAAAGCAACTGCACAGATAACGGAGGGCTGCTGATGGAGATGACACATCTTCGTCTTCAGTCACCCTCTCTCTGCAGCAGATTTTACAGAAAAATTCACCTTTTTTTTAAAGATGGTAGGGTCATAGAGAAAGCACAAATCTGATGTAATCTGATGTAAAAAGAAAAACTATCCATTTATGTACAAATAAATAAGAATGAGGTACCATGAGGTACAGGCTCATTAGGAATAAAAAGAACATGTTTTCAGAGGTCCTGTACAAAATAAACACGGGCGTTTCTGAAGCGTCAGAGCATCAGGTGATTGAGGTCGGATCCTTTTAATAAGAGATCTGAACTGTTCAAAAATATTGAGGGAACACATGATCATCACAGCATGACTCGCAGTAAGTTAAACTCCAGGGATACCACTGTGCCTTTTTAGGAAGCAGAAACCAGTGTGGGTCCATTTCAGCAGTGACAGCAGGTGCAATGGAGAGACCGATTCACCCCAGGTTGCACAGGTTGTCCAGCTCCTCCACCGAAGAGTTTTTGAACCAGTCTCCAGAGTGTGGAGGTCAGACGGACAGTGCTGAAGAAGCAAGGGGAGCGCTGCCAGAGCCCTACGAAATGACCCCCACCTTGCTCCTCGACTACGTGTTTCAACCACAAACTGTCGGAAACAGACTCTGTGAGGGTAGCGCGAGGCCCTGACATCCTGTAGTGGGACGTGTGCTCACAGCCCAGCGTCGTGCAGCTCCAATGAACGAGCAGGTCCACCTGTGAGACCTTTAGAAATGAGAGCAGACTCATACTGAGCACGTGCGACAGACGTGGAGATGCCTGCAACACCATGCAGCAGGACCGGTTTGGCAGTGGGTCAGTGACCTTCATCACCTGCATGAGGTTAGGTTGTGACACTAATTCACCCTGCCACTAATGAAGTAATTGTTCTGTAATTAAATGGAATTTCAGTGTATTTTATTTATAATTATTATGCAATTACATTTACCTACAAATACTTAAAGGTGATAATTATTCTGTAATTACCGCGTTATTCTCTGGCAATTTAACAGAAATGCCAACAATATTTGCCCACCTTATATCATAAGTATGCTGTACTTTTTGAGGGGCAGGCCATATCATGCATATTATACTATATATTATATTACACAGTACTTACATCCACTTAAAAGTACTTACATTTACAAATTACTCATGCAGTACTTAAATAGACTCAAAAGTAAAAATGACTGATGCGATAATTACATTCACTTAAAAGTACCAAAAATTACTTACGCAGCATTTAAAAGAACTTAACATTACTCACATAGTACTAAATTTACTTAGTTGTTCCTGTAAAAACCTGATTTGATACACATGTATTCTAATGTGCCTACCTTTAAATATTGGTCTGTAAATAAAATTATACTATAATTTCTAATAACATACTGAATCACACACTTAGCAGCAGGCTGTATTATAAAGTGGCTTTTGAAGGAGGCAGTGTCTATGCTGGCTTACGTCTGGCTATATATACAGTATAGGCCTATCAACATGTAGGACCAGTAGACTCCCAGCTGTCACTGGTCTTTTAAATACCTCACTATGTATTTATTTGTGTGTGATTTCTGCTGACTGTATAACAAATAAAAATATCCTTGATTGTCTGCAGAGGAGGGCCATAAAGTCCCCCACATGCACCCACATCAGGCCTAATACTGGTGCAGTAGGCCTAGGATTCCTACTGATGGGTGTAGGCACTTCCCATAGAGCTGAATCCAACTGAGAACCACTGAGATGTTACATATGAGTGTATCAGACAGTTTTGATCAGTTATAATAACATAAGTAACATCATACAGGTGTAAAGAGGCAGTCTGTAAGTAAATATTTCCAAGCTGCTGTAATGCTCCTCTGTACCACCAAAGACTTACTGCGTATTTGGCATTAGGTAGAGGTGGATGGATCGATCCATATATCGACAGTATCGATACCAACGCTAGTATTGGCGCCAGATCGATACTAGCGCAATAGGATGCTCCTCTGTTGCTTCTATCTTCTAAGTTCAGTATGAAGCCTACTGATTCATATTAAATTATTTATACATATTTTTTGTGAAAACGAAACAAAAACCCCCAAAAAACCTCAAATATGCGCTATGAAAAATGTCTTAACCTTTTTTATTTCTATTTTTTTATAGCCCATAGTACATATAGTACAAAATGTTTAAGTTAAAACAGTATCGATATTAGTATCGGTAATACTGGCCCTGTATTGATTTGGTATCGATCACAACGAAATTTGCAGTATGGCTCAGCACTCGTGTCTGGTCCGCAGGTGTCTTTTCCTTTAAATCACTGGGCGCGCACACATACACAGGTAAACAGCATTGAGGTGACAGCAGTGTGTGCAGACTTGCCGTTATGACCACGGTGTCGTCCTCTTTGAACTTGGGGATGTATTTGTCTCCTCGGGTAATTTCGGCCTCGTTCAGGGGCCTGAAGCGGCACATCACTCTCACCCCGCACTCCGCCGCGTCTGCCATGGCTTCTGCTGCTCCTACCAATGTTTACACCGCCCCCTCTGTCCGGTGGTGCCCAAAGGGAGGTTTAGGGACCTCCAGTGGGGCCTGGTCGGTTTAGTCTGCTTCCCTCTGTAGCTAGTCGAGAATTTTCCTGTTCTAAAGAAGGAGTGTCACATCTGTGTTCAGAGGAATTCAGCAGTAGGAAAGTTCCTCCAGCTTTTTAGCCGATGCGCAGGGCGTCCTTCATCTGAGCCTCCTCCGCTGCGCCATGGCCAAAGCGGACAAACCGCAGTGCTGCGTCTCGGATTGGAGCTCGGACTGCGGTGGAGCTTACAGGCCTCCTCGTCCCGCGGCTGTGGCATCGACAGCCGCGCGGAAACGTGGCGTTTTTACTAGGTTGTCAACGGCGGAGGACGACTGAGCGGGGAGCTGTCCGCTCTGCAGAGACACCGAGTCCGGGGAGGGTGTGCGCGCACACAGCCGCATCGTCCTTTACCGGTGATCGGGGCGCGCGCTCGCACGATTTCGCGGCGCGTGCCTTCACCTCACATCAGCACCACCATCACTGAGTTAGTCACATGCACGAGCACTCAGCCTGCTCTATATGAATCTTCATGTTTCTTCATATTTAAATCAACAGTTTGTATTTTTTTTTAAATATACAGTACAAATAAGTGTTAAATCCTATATTTTAGGCAAATTAGAATATTTAATAACTTTTATTTTTGTTATCTATCTGCATCTTTGGAAATGTAAACATTTTAGCTGCAAATAACACTGGCTAATCATTAGCTTAAGTTACAGTTTAGATATAGAAAGGAGGGCCTTACGCTAACTGTATACATATTAATCCTTTATAAGCTAATATAGATGTAGAATAAAGGTAAACCAACAATTTGGTCCTCTAAAAAGAACTTATTTAAAAAAAATAGTAATTTCTTTCCCAACTGGCCGGTGTCAGTTCAACAAGCATCTAAAGTAATCCCAGTTTAGCTAACATTAGCCTTACACAGATGATAAAAATCAGACTTGAGAAAGCAACCTTTCCTACCTAGCTAGATAATCATTACCTCAACTTTACATTTTTAATAAATATATGTTGATACTTTATAAGCTAATATGAATATAGAATAAAAGGTAATCAACTTTTTTTTCTTGAACTGTAAAAATATATTTTTGTTTATATATGTATGTATATATGTATATATATACATATATATATATATACATATACATATATATATATATATGTATTATAATATTATATTAAATTATATATATATAGTAAATAATTTGACAAATGTACAAGCTAGTCATAGGTAAAGCTTCACAATAGCTTTAAATAGGTTTCACACAGGTTCAAATTTAAGCAAGCAACCATATCTGACTAAATAGCTATTGCTAATCATTACTTAAAGAATAATTGTATATCTTAAAATAAATACTTTAATCCTTTCTATGTTAATATAGCTATAGAATAAAGTAGGGGAATCAAACATAAGGTCCAGGGGTCTGAATCAGCCTGGCAGACCTCAAACATGGCTTTGGAAAATGTTGAGGAGGAAATAGATTTTCTTTTTACTTTTAACAGTATTTTCTCAAGTTTAAGCGCTTTTGCTCCATTCACACTGCACCAAAATAAGTAATAGAAACACAATTAAATTACATTAAAGTCACTGTTTTGTTGTGAAATAACAAAATTTGAACAGTGTCCAAGTTAGTAAAAGCTAATATTTACTTCCTTCGTAAGAACTGCTCTGAAGCTTTTGATTATATTTAAACTTTATGTAGTATTCCCCACGTGAAAAATGTGACTAAATGTTCTGTGACTACTTTGAAAAACATAAGCATTTAATCCACATTTAATAAAAAAGGAGGTCTAGGGCTGCTGAGTAGGTCTAGTAGCTGGATGTTTTTCAAGCAAAAGGGCTTTTTGTGTGTGTGGATTCAGGTAAATTTGGGGGCAATTTGAAGAGTGACAAACAGCAGATATTTAAAGAGTAATATTTAATATTAATGTTAAAAACCCTGCATATAAGTGTGCTTTCCTGCTTTTCCACTAGAGGCCAGTGTACAACAAGCTTTAAACTAGACTCGTGGTTTTACTCCAAACTTTCTCAATAATTTCCTCTTAGAAATATTTAATAACAAACCTGGGGGGGAAAAAGCACCCGGCCTCCACAAAAAGGCATAAAAATGCACAACAAATCAGATAATTCAAGTAAGAGTGACCATGTTTTTAATATCTTAAACATCTGTGCAACATTTTTCAAAATGTTACATCACTGCATGACCTGTAATGTTTCACAATATTTACAAAAAAAATGCTGCGTACATCAAACCATTAAAAAAAGTCCAAACAATCTCAAAATAATGGACTCTGACAAACTATCCCTAGCCCACATTAATGCAAATAAAGAAAAATAAACAAGAGCAATCAAGTGCACATCATACTTCACGCAGGTCTATTTTTTGTAAAGTATATATTAGTGAGAAAATATATACTTAATTACAAGTTGAAGAAACAGAATACTGACAACGAAAGGATGGGAGATTTAAAGAGCAGAAACAAACACTGGAAAAAATAAAACTCACACTCACACCTCACACAATCACAGGTGGAAGGAGACGGGAGGGTAAAATAGACCGCACGGACCACCTCAAACACAAAAAATGCTTTGAACTCTTGACCACGAATTACAAGAAACCAATAACAGATCCGTAACACATGGGGTTCCGGTCACAAGTGCAGGAACCTGCATGTCATTGCACAAAAACCAAAAAAGAAAACATAATTTGTTTTGCTTTTTATTTTTTAAAAAGAGATGGAGAGAAGGGGAGACGAGGCAGAATGAACTTTACCGAAACAGCTCACATGTTCTCCACAGCGAACGTCACATTTTGGAAAACGGCCGGAGGACATCTCCTCCGAAGGTTTACAGTAAGACAAGATAACAAAACCTCGACTCTCAAAAGGGTGCACGCTGAAAATAACGGGGACGTGTTTTTAAACACATTCTTCACAGGTATTGCTTATGTTGTTGCCGCTGTGAAGGTAACAACAATGCCTTGTGTTCGCGTTTGATACTGATATTTTTAACAGTAAACAAAAGAGAAAAACAAAGAAAAAAAATTACCTTTTTTAAAAAAAACCAAAAAAAAAAAACCATTCTCAGTTTTTTTCAGTGTGCACAAAAACACAATAAGGTAGAGAGACATCTCATTGGAAAATACAGTACAACTTGACTTAAAAATGCAGGAATTAGATTTGACTTAAAGGCTCCATTTGTTATGGATATGTAGTCATAGTAGTGTTTTCATTTGGAAAGCACAGAAATGGATGTTTCAAAGGGCAATTATATATCTTTATTTTTTTCAGTTTTTGTTGCACAAAATTTCACCCTTGATGTCAGGTAAAATAACTAATTTGTTTAAAAGGTCTTTTTAGTTCTTGCTGCAAAATATTGGCCTCTAATATCTGTAAATCTACCAAAGATGCAGATATTTGGCCGATACCAGTGTCCGTATGGATATTTGGCCAATAATGGTGCACCCCTTGTTTTAGAGGCTGACAAAGGGGAATCTGTTCTTTCAGTAGTGTATTATTTGGTTTTAACTTTTTATTTGTTAGAGTTCTTGCGTATAAAGTTCAAGTAACAGTATTTTAGTTCAAACTTTGAGGCTAATTGGGTTAACGGTTGTGGCTGGCGTGTAAAAATAAAGCTACACATCAATTTCTACTTCATTGCTCTCAGGTTAGAGCATCAGAAAAGATGACTATTAAGAAAAAAAGAAAGAAAGAAAAGCAAAACAGGCAACACAGAAGAGTCCAAACAATGAGAGATGCAGTGTTTCGCAGTGTTGATCTTTGCCATCGATTGGTAATATTGCACTTGGTTATTCCGTAGAGATTGCCGGTGGTTTTGATCCGTTTCCAATACTGTCAGACCGATCGAATGATGATTCTTCTTCTCAGCTTCAAACGCTGATAACTTGTAGTGTTCAAACTGCATTTATTACCAACATCAGATGTGCATGTTCATAAATAAGATGCTCTTTTTCTCTACCATGACACAATCTGTAACAAGTAAAAACATGAAGACTAGAAAACCTCACTGTAATTAAAAAGACTGTTATCTGTAACGTTCACTTCTTAAATAAGACAGAATATGACCTTTTTGTTTGTAATGGACTCTGAATACAATTCACTTGTTAAAAAAGGAAAGAAAACATACATATACACATATAAGGCTTGAGTTCTCAACTCTTGGTAGTATTATTGCCATCTAGCATATTTGTAAAGCTTAAAATAAATATGGAGTACTGTACATAAATAATTTACATCAATATGAAAAACAAACAACAAGGCCTCTAAAATGGAAAACCAAAATAAAATAAAAGCGCTTTCACTGCTCTGGAAAGCCCAGTTAGTGTTGCTTCAGATGCCTCGGAGGTCAGTTACTCTACTGAAAGATGTGGGTAAAAACACGTGGAGAACAAAAATAAAAACAGTCACTGTACAAACAAGCATGTGAATATGATCGCGACAATCAATGACATGATCGTTCGATGCAGCCTGTGATTCTTGTTGCTGAAGGAAAAATCCACCCATGTTAATAACTGGCCAAAGTTTGTGATTACAACACAAAGCAAACTGAAATTGTCTGCATTTTCAGATGTAGTGGTTTATGGTTTTTTGACTTCCAACAATGAGAGTTAAAGCTTTCAAATCTAAGAGCAGGGCTTATTTTACTCATCATACTGAAAATGGACCAGGATGAGTCTAAACATCTCACAGTGTGTTTATATGCATGTAGCGATGGACTTTTATGGTTTCAGTAAGCAGGGAGCAAAAGATTTCTCCTGAAAAAAGCCATTTTACATGTAAGCACTCGAGTGACATGAAGTTAACCCTATGCCAACAGAGCATCCAGCTATGCCATCTGCAGATTTAAAATAATGTCAACCAAAACCTCATAAAAGAGGACATAGAAGAAAAAGTCTTAATTAGACCACTGATACATATTTCCCAATTAGTAGGTGTTAGTGCCCAATCTAGACCAGCTCTATGCATTTGCAACGCAAAATACTGGTCCCAAACCTGGAGCAGCAGATGTCTGGGACTACATGAAATGCACAGTGATTTCAAACAGACAGCACACAGATTCTTTCCATTATGATTGTAGTTCCAGAGAACTTTCCCCAACCCTTGTTCAACCCCCAGTATCTACTACCTCTTGTTTTACAGTGTATTACAGATGCATGCCCCTCAAAAAACAACTTGTATAGATCCCAAAAACATTGGCATTAACAAGGCATTAGCATGCCGCCCCCCCCAACAGAAAACAAACACTAAAACAAAATGCCGGTCTCAAATTTGGACCCACTGGTGGGAGAAGCTACTGTAAGAAGTTACTTAAACTTGTACAACCTAATACTGTATTACATTTGTTTTAAAACTGTCAAAATGCGGGCTGGTCCTCAAGACACAACAAGGCAGAAGTGGCTGCGCTACATCCATCAAGCTGACGCCAAATCTGACGCCTATTCCATAGATTTTTACAAAATAAAGACTGCCACTCCCAACAGTGCTGCCAGTCACAAAGCTGGAACCACTGACATCAGAGATTATGGGCTGGGCTGCTATTGGAAATTGTGTTCACTGATACTACCCCAAGCTACTGTGTTACTGTGTAATGCAACCCTATGTGGGGTTCTCAAAGCTGTTTAAAGGTAAGCTAAAGGCATCTAAGACAGGACAAGATAGCTCAGGGTCATATTATCTGGTGCCAAATCTATAAATGCTAACCAAAGACCAACGGTCCAAAGGCAACCAAAAATGGCCAACCCCAATGTTGGAACTGCTCATGATATTAAATTTGGGATGGGCTACCTAAGAAATCCAGACACTTCACTCATGCAACCCTTGAAATTCTGTTCAAAATTAATCTCCTGCCACTGAAACAACCCCAACTCACTTGCTACCCGACGCTACGCAGCCTCAAAACTGGTTCCTCATTCCGTTATTCTGTGCCGCAACTCAGAAACCACAAAAAACCTCAGCCCCAAACCACTGAAATCATTAAATCAGGGATGTTTTTCAGAGATGCACCAAGACCACCAATATCCATCAATTCATCATTTCAGTAGCCTAAAATGGGCTAAAACTTGTTTTGCAATGTACACTTGTTCCAGTTAAAAACTCTGCACAGCCAGCAGATGTAACGTCAGCAGAGTTAACTACAGTGCATGTAAGCACGCTGGCAGAAAGAGCTCAACTTCTGAAGTCCAACATTAATTAATAGCATTTAATTTACAACAACATAAAAAAAGTCTTGCCGTTTCAGAAGCTGGACAACCCATGTTTAGGACTTTTTTTCCCATCATTTTTACTTTAAATGAATGAACCTCTTCTAAAAACAATCATTGTGGAGGTTTTGGAAAATTAAGTGTCTGTGAGTGGATTTTTCCTTCTGAAAACACTCAAAAAAAGTTTTTGTTCATAAATTACAACACCTGAAAAACCCAGAACCAGACCAAGTAACACGACTTTCCTGTCAACGTGGTGACTGGTGGAGCCGGCTGGGGTCTCGGTGGGAGGGATACAGGCTGTGGGAGGGTAGGGATACAGGGTGTGGGTGAGGTGGGACACTGAACACTTTCTGCTGGTAAAGTTCATTCTGTGTTTTTTAACTGTTTTTTCTCCCCATTACAAATGAACACTTAGCTGGAGTGACTACTGTTATGGTGAGCTCATGTCAGTTTCATCGCTGTTCCCTTACAAAAATAAAACAACAAAGAAAAGAAAAAGAAAGAAAAAAGAAAACAGCACATCTTACAGTTCATCATATAAAAGCTTTAGGCTGTATTCTTATTTATCCTATGCATGCGGCCATATGCGACCGCATTTCTGAATAGAAACCAAGACATTGGTACACTTCTGCTTTGTTTTGTACAATAAAAGATAAAATGTGCATTAGGTACGGTTGTACATGACATTGTACAATATTTACATACAATTCTTAATAGCATGAAATTTCAGGATTATCTATATACATATTGAAAATGTATCAGAAATATTTGGACTGTCTATTTTTCTTAAATATGTAAGGTAATGCTTGTAGCTTTTTTTGTTTATTTTACTATCTTATACTAGAAAAAAATAGTTAATTCAGTGAGCTGTAGACAAATTGCAACCGTTTTTGATGTTTTTCTGTATTCATGTTTTTTCCTACAGTCTATAAACTGTAGTGGTGATTGGAATTTCCAGCACCTTCTGTGGTCAGTCATTAAGTCAAGTTGATATCATGGAACAACGATGTACCACTGAAAGTCCGCGTGTAGCACCTGTTAGAGAGCTCAGATCGCATCAAGGCTGAACGGACAAAGTCTCCGAAAGGCTCTGAGGACGTTCTTGGGCCAACACATTCAATGTTATCTGGATATCTTCCTCCTCTTCGGCTTGGGGAGCTTCACCTGACGATCCCTCGACGGGATCTGATGGCACACACACAGGAAACGGTGTGGTGGTGAATGCGGGGGAAACAGCAGTGCATGAGAAGAGAGGAAAAGCACAAATACTCACTGTGCCCGACATCTTGTCTAGCTCGCTCATGGCCTCGTGGATAGCAGCTTCCAAGTGATTATTCAGTTTCCCCGGTCTGTCAGACAATATTTATATTATTTACTTTTAGGCAGAAGAAAACTTTACAATTATAAACTACAACAAAAAGGTAGCTTAAAAAATAATTATTACACTTGAATCCATCTACAGGATGAGGAAACTGACCAGAGAAGCAGCTGGTTCAACTCCATGTGACCAACGTGTTTATTTATGCTTCTAATGAACTTCTCATAGCTCTTTAACTGAAAATGTCCCACTGTTGTAATACAGGAGTGAGACCTGCTATGATATATGGTTTGGAGATGGTGCCAAGCGGTTCATGGATGTAGTGAAGGAGGACATTCAGAGGGGTGGCATCAGAGGAGGAAGCTAGCGTTAGGGTGAGATAGAGGCAGATGATTCCCTGACGGGAGCAGCCAAAAGAATAAGCAGTGCAGGAAAGATAATTTAGAAGTTACAGGGAAATATATGATTTTATATACTATTTGATCTTTTTGTAATTTTACACTCTTCTAATATTTTGACACAAGTTTATAGTATACACTGTGATGACTTCCATCATTATTTGTTGTTCGGAGGATTACAGAACCTCCAATGTGTCCATATTTGGGTGTTAACATGATACGAGTGTGCTGTAACACATAGGTCACTTAAACAGACCTTTAAAGATTTAATTTTGGATTATTGAAATAAAAGACTAGAACAGTTTTTAATATCTACCCTGGAAAAAAGAAGCTGTACATGTGTAGTTTGTGGAAACAGAGCCACTGAATAAAGTATTCCGACTCTACCTCTGTCATTTTAGTTCAGTCACTTCAGGGTTAATGGTCTATTTTTGCCCCAAAGCGTTTAAAGTTTTATTGTTTCACTTAAACAAATGTTTGCCTCTCCTTTGCTGCAGGACACCATCTTTAACCACTAGGTGTCAATGCCACTTTAGATAAAGATCATCAGAGGAAGCACGAAAAGGCCTCGCTCAGCTCAAACTACAGCAAAGGTGGGTTTATATTATTAATGAAGCACCAGTGTGCTGGGTGAGGTTACTTACTTTAGGCCTCTTTTGGCGGCGCGGTCGAATGCCTCCAAGTCATGAGTTAGTGTTTTCAGCTTCTCTGGCTCTACCTGCACAAAGAAAAGTGGAATCAATTTGAGCACATTCAGCACCAGACTGAAAATTTCCCACCAAGCACCAGGAACTGATGCTCAATTTGAACTCCGGTTTATCACTTCGGCGCGTCTAGCGGATAATTTGGCAGTCACCATTTGTCGGACATGCTCTGTTCTGCACTTCTGATTTGGCAGGTAAAGCCGTGGATGTGTTTTTGGAGTAATTTGGAGTCCATCTGCCTCGATGGCCGCTGGACAGAAATTTACAAAGCTCTATTTCCTTCTGACTTTTCAAAGCTGCAATATTTGAAAGTTACAGTCAAATACGAGTTATTCTCGACTTATTGGCAAGCAACTCCCTTTAACTGGAAGATAATTCATTGTAATCCAAGACTCACTGAAACTTTTAATACTGGGATTGCTGCTCATAGCCTCCTCAGGCTGAGGCGCTGGCCGGCAAAATGGTGACAGGTGGTGACAGACTACCCCGGCCCCTCACCTTGGCCTGCTCCCGCAGCTGCATGGCAGCGCTGTGCACTTGCTCATCCCCGGCCAGCTTTGCAGGCCACGGCGGGAAGCCCTTCAGCTGGCCCCAGACCAGCTCTCCCATGTTGAAGGTCCTGGACCGGTAGTGGAGCAGCTCCGACGAGGGCGAGTCTGGCTGCCGGAGGTCCTCCTCACTGCTCAGGCTCTTCGTGTCCGAAGGGCTGGGCGCCATTCCATTGAAGTGGCCGTTGTAGTGGCTGTAGTCTTTGGCTGTAGCCAGAGGGCCCTCCAGGCTCGTGGAGGAGCTGGGTGACTGGTCGTCATCCTGCCGTGGAGGGCCCAGGACTTCTCCGTAGCCCCGGGTGTTGAAGTGGGGCGTGGTGCCGTTGAGATGGGCGCAACGTTCCACCGTCTGCTCCAGACGTTCCTTGTAGTTAGCTGGTGCCCGACCGCAGTTGTTGAACCGGAAGCTATCATCGAGGTAGGCCTTATCGTGGGCCATCACCAGGCCGTGGTCGTTGGACCCATCGGTGGGGCAGGGTGGCGCAGGGGCCAGACTGGCAGGTCTCTCCATGCAGGGACTACTCCTTACTTGGGTCGAGCACTCCAGGAACTCCTCACCACCCCAGGCGTTGTTGTTGTTCTGACTGTCGAAGCCTCCCCCATGATGAGTCTCCCCGTCCCACTGCCCCCTGGGAGTCCCGCGTCCAGGAGAACGGAAGTAATCATTGGCTTCAGGGCCATCCGGAGTGCTCTTCCCTGGATCCATGTTCTTCTGACCCCGCCCAGGCCTCACCTGCCGCACTCTGGCTTGCTGGGGTATGGTCTCCCCTTCCTGGTGCCCATGCAGGACTGCGCTGACTGCCTGGGGGAGGTTGACAGGTTCCCTTATGGAGGCAGTGAAGGCACTCATGGCACTGAGGGCGTGCACCGGACTCGCCTGCGTTGTCCCGCTCACTGTCGTGGTGATGGTTACATGCACGCCTTTGCTGGCTGCGTCCACAACAGCTCTGTAGATGGCGTCCACCGATTCTGGCCCTCCGCCGGGGGCTCTGTCAGAGCTAGGCGTACCCGCTGGAAGTCCCTCACCTTGGGGCTGCTGCTCCTCCCCAAATTGTGGGTGTGGCAGCATCCCCTGCTGTGGATACAGAGAGGGGCCATTGTGATTAGAAATGTCATCTAAAACATCTGAAATACTACACAGATCAAAACATGACTCATTGCTCCACCTGGTAGTTCTGGTAGAGGCAGGCCATGGAGCCGGACTTGGCGTTGTTGCTGTCAGCGTATGGCGGGTTGTCGGAGAAGTGCTGCTGCCCCTGGTAGGCAGGATGAGATACCACTGCTTGCTGCATGCCCTGATGGACCTGCTGCGGGTACATCTGACCTCCACCGGCGTTAACATGTGGCTGTAGAGCGCCCATTCCACATCCAAGTGACGAGGGGTTTCCTGCAAAACAACAGGGAGAGGCCGGTGAGCTCGAACCATCAGACATGGTGTGTATTTTAATACAGACAGCACTGATACTTCACGACAAAGGAACTAAGCAATATTTTATATTTTTGGTAAAACATATGATAAAGCATGCTGAAGTGTAATTCTAGTTACATTTTTTAAAACAATCCACAATATTCACTGCATTCATCAACAAGAATGGATGGCCTACATCAAGGATGTCAAACAAAGGACCTGTGGCCCCCAGCCAGACTACCAAAGGGTCCAGTGTTTGGAGCCTTCACTGTATTTTTAACATTTTTCTGTAACCGCAAATCAGTACCTGTTTTAACCAATAAGATAACACTATCGTCAAATGGCCATCTATTTCTTGTGGACATAAGGAGATTGCTTTCCTATTTTTTTTCTCATTTTTCAGTTAAGTTAACTTAATATAAGTTTGTAGGATTTATTGTCATTTCACATGGTATTTACAGAAATCCACAGCTGAAACGAAATGTTGTTCTTCACCAGCCTCTACAGTGCAATAATCAATAACAAATTATTAATAAATTAATAATAATTTTGCATTCAAACGCTGCAAGAACTTTTTATTTCTTATACCTGATACCTTTTTTTGTAAGTGCTGATCTAAAACCTGAATTTAATAAGCAGACAGCCGCAGACTGGCACTCATTCCTCTTATAATTCTTTAAACTCAAATAAAAGAGCACGTGCTAAGGTGCACTGTAGTGCAGTGTTGACTGTCTCTAATTTGCAGATAGCGCAACATGCTGCTTGAAAATCATCAGGTGACTGCATGCTGCTCTCACCTTTACTTGCTCTCACTGTGTGCCCACTTCCTCACACATGCACACAAACTCGCTTGCAGAGGGGAACTGATAAGTGAAATCCTACTGACGTCAGTGTCAACACATTTCGTTACCGTAATAGTGCAACAAAAGCTTTTCCAATGAGCACCGGACAAGTGACAACATCACAGCTGTCAGAGTTTTTCAGCAATACCGTCTCACCTGACCACACAGAAAAGCGGACCCTCTGCTACACCTGAGCACTCTAGGAAGCCAAACCACCTTATACTGAATCCAGCTCTGAGTCGGGATTGGACTAGATGAGTACATTCCTACTTTAGAACCCATCCATCCATTTTCTTAAACACTTATACAGCTTTTATACAGCAGGGAGCTGGAAACTATCTTGGCCAACACAGGGAACAAACATTCACACCCTTGGGCAATTTAGGTTCACCTGCTAATCCTAGTTTTCAGGTAAGATGTCAACTTGCCTGCAAACACTCGCCAACTCCTCACTGAGTGGTGAGATCACAAACAGGAAACAGAGAATATTAAATAAAAGGTATATCTAGGGCTAAAATTGGTGAAAGCAACTCAGCTAGCAAACAAAGATAATTTGCCATTAGTGCTCCCAATTAGTGGACCAGTCTGCCCAATCAAACCAGAATACAAACTTCTCATTTAAATGGCATCATATTATGTTATTTTATCAAAAGGCTTAAAGTAGTGTGTTTTAAATCCTGTCTAATATTTTGTTATTCTGCCTTGTCTTCAGTTGTATTTCTGGAACGTCACCATAATACTTTAACTTCATTCAGTGACGCACTCTGTAACTCTGTTAACAACAGTGCCGTATAAATAAAAAACATAAATATAATTAAAAATCTCAGCAGCTGTAGCATGTTTTTTTTTTAAATCTCTTGTGCCCTTGTGTTCATCTGTGTAATAAACCTCTCAGTTCGGTGGATTTTAAACCTAGAAAATGAGTTGCTTAGAAAGTGTCCCCCGACCGTGGCTTCTACAATCAAAGAAACAAAGTTCTACATTAGCAATCTGTTGCTCCCAAAGCTAACAGATGGACCCGCTGCCAGATGCACGGTACAGCCAGACTTGTTAGCGAAGCATCCAAGGACAGAACATGAAGAAAATACACGGAGGCCACAGATGTATCAATGAATGAAGAGAAAGCCCAGCAGCAATGTTATGCAGACAAAGCCGGAGCGCATACAGGATCTCAGCAGCCTGACGTGTGTGTGTGTGTGTGTGTGTGAGAGAGAGAGAGCAGCGACTGGAGCAGCTGGTGCGATGCGACGTAGCTGAAGGGCAGCTGTGTGTTCTCCATTTTTTTCCTCCTCTTTTCTTTCTGCCCCTCTCTCTCACTCTCTCTTTAATGCTAAGAGCCACGACTCGGCCATCCCCCCCTCTTCCTCCCCACGTCCTCTCCGCTACTGCTATGATATAGTGACGGCTGTTGCTGGGGGAGGTTGCCTTGGCAACCGAGTGATGATTGGTGGTGCTGTCCGCTGCCAGGAAGCTTGTTTGGAGGTGGTGCTGGTGGTAGGGGAGTTGTGGTGGATGGGTGGGGGTGGGGGGGTTACGAGGGTCGGGTGGTGTGATTTTAGCCTGCTGGGGGATGGGGGTGGTGGTCAGCTGGGTTGAAGGGGGGGGGACCGGGAGGGGTTTACAATGAACTTTGGAGTATTTGTTGATGGCAGGAGAAGGGGGGGGGGGGGGGGGGGGGGTGGTTCAAGCTTGCACGCTGTATAGAAACAGATGGTCAGAGGCTAAAGCTAAGACGCCAACGACTAGACAGTAACATCCACCATTCAGTGACAAAAACACTATTTAGCCTGCTCCCACCCACCAACATTTACTGAATATTTCCCCTAAATGTCCAAATGGTAACGCTGCCAACAGGAGAACTCCAAGGCCAAAATACATAAATGAGACTTTAGCTGAAAGCTAAAAGTGTATTTGTTCAGCATGTGGTCAAAACATAACTTCATCTACAGTGCTGTAAAAACTGTAAAAATGCCCCAATCCTTATTCATTTCTTACTGTGCAAATTTAAGATAATCAAACTATTTTTAGTATTAGACAAAAATACAGAAAAGCAAATTTTATATGATGATTTCATTTATTAAGGGAGAAATGCTACCCAAACCTACGTGGCCCTAAGGGAAAAGGTAATTGACCCTCTTGTTCTATCATGAATTAACCTTATTAACTCGTTTTTTTCCAAGTTCAGTTTTCCTAGCCAACACAATGTAAAGAAGTAGCCGAGAAACAAAGTAATTGACATCCAGTGAATTACGGTGAGAGCCGTTACCCACAAAATGGAGAAAACTTGGAAGAGTGGCGAGCCTTCCCAGGAGTGGCCAACCTACCGAAAGTACTCCAAGAGTGCATCGAAGACTCATCCAGGGGTGAATCATGAACTCTGCCCATAGGCCTGCAGTTCTTTATATGTTCTTTTCAGTTCTTTTGTGACCTCCTTTGCTACAGCCACATGTACACAGGTATTTTTTGTAAACATAGCCTGTTTCATGCATACTGACAATGTAGCTTTTGTAAAACTTCTGACAGGGTGAAGATTTCAGAAAACTGCGTTTCTGCATTTACATGTGGACAAAGGTGTACGTTTTTTATGTCCCTTTATGATAAAAGGCTGTGCGCTGTGGCTTTTAATCAGCCATCATTTCTTCACGGTTACTGTTATATCACTACCTGATGATTTGGCACACTTTTCACAGCTTTTGAGATATTTTTCAAAACACACTCTGAGAAATCCCTATTTAAAAAAAAAAATACCCATATACATATGGACATAGCCAAGGAGGTCACAAAAAACCCATAACAACATCCAAAGAACTGCAGGCCTCACTTGCCACAGTTAGGATCAGAGTTCATGAGTCAAGTCAACAAGAAAGACACTGGGCAAAAATGGCATCCATGGGAGAGTTCACCAAAAAAGATCATAAAGGCTCATCTCACATTTGCCAAAAAACATCTGGATGATCCCCAAGATTTTGGGGAAAATATTCTGTGGACTGACAAGATAAAAGCTGACATTTTTTGGAAGGTTTGCATCTGACATAAAACTACCACAGTATTTCATAAAAAGAATATGACACCAACAGTCAAACATGGTGGCATAACCTGGAAGTCCCGAGGACGGATCGTGGGACCCGTGCGTGGGGCTGCACGGCGTCAACGCGTTAACAAGCTAACCGCACTAACGCATTGACGCCATGCAGCCCCACGCACGGGGCGATCCGCTGTAACTCGTTAACGGAGATTAGCCGTGTTAATGCAGTTACGGCGTTAACGTCATTTTAACGAGATTAACGATACCAGCACTAAAATAGTAATCTCCAAATGTTTTCTTTTTACTGACCACCTCCTCTTTGATAGCTGCCGTGTCCATCTTGTTGTTGCCTGCAGGTGAAGCGATGGGGGAGGGGAGTTGTGTTAGTGAAGGAGAGAGGTGAGGCAGAGTAACGTTGCGTAGAACGATAAACAATATTGTCACATCTCATTTAAAAATATATCGATATATTTAAAAAGTCGATATATTGCCCAGTCCTATAATAATGTCTGACCATCAGTTATTGTCCTGAAGCTAAAGCGAACTTGGGCTGTGCAGCAGAACAATGATCCAAACCACACCAGCTAGTCCACCTCTAAATGGCAAAAAAACCAACAACAACAACAACAACAACAACCCACAAATGGTTCTGGAGTGGCCTAGTCAAAGCCTGGACTTAAAGAGGCTGTTCATGTTTCAAAACCACCCAAAGTGGCTAAATTAAAACAATTCTGCAAAGACAACTGCCAGTTGTGGCACAACCATCTCCTGTCACTCCTTCAATTCAGGGTCACAGAAAACCAGGAGCCTATATTTAACTACCACAGTGCAAGAGGCAGGGGACAACATGGACAAGTCGCCAGTCTGTTGCAGGGCTAAGGACTAAGTGTAAAAAAAATGCAATAACTAAGAAATTGGGAAATTTTCATAGCACTGTAAGTATGCTCAACTATCATTCAAAAAATGTTTATAATAGTCTGAGTTGCATAACGCTTAATTTCATGTTGTTTAACCCTCTTCTCTGACATTAAAAAACAAAATGAAGCATTCAGAAAACCTTTAACGATCACTAAAAACATTAATGCTGAACTTCTCTTGCAGTAATTATACAG